TCCTGTGGTAAGCGAACTCTCCGTCACCAAACTCAGCTGTTAAATAACAGAAGGAAGACCCAGGAAGCCACTGAGATCCACAAAAGCACTGGCACAAAGTCAGTCCTGTGACTCTCTAGGAATAAAAGCAACAAGGGCTGCCAGTCACGGGAAACAAAGAAACCAACACAAATGAGACACTGTACTTAAAATGAGGGAAAACATGACAATAACAGAATTATTTTGTTACAGAGCTGTTATTATATATTCCAACTTATGAAAACAAACATGTCAAAATTAAAAACAAAAATAATATTCAACTGAATGTGGGCAGTAAGTCCCTCACTCCAGCAAGAAGTGCCTGGTGTCAATGTTTTGGTTTTTAAATTGAATCTTATTTACCATCTCTATTCTAGCTCTAAAATGGTAGCAGGACAATTTTGGTTCTTAAGTAATCTTAAAAACCACAAAATTCACCTACAAATATATGAAAGCATGACCTATAATCTATCCACTTGGGAAACGGTAATCACACTGCTTAAAACCTTTGGTGTTTGGAATATTTATAATAATGGAAATTTCACAAGTGCAAAGGACCTGAAAAAAGACACACCCACCTATTTTGGTATGAAGAAATTCAGGCCTACAGAGGGCAACCTGTCAAGAGACGACAGCAAACGCTGGAGGAGCCAGTTCTGGAACCTTGGGGACCTGTCTCATTCGATGCCATCTTCTCAATTTAGGCTGTACCCCAGGGCAGTGATTTGAGAGAAACTGAGTGACCACAAGTTATGCCTGAGGGCTTGTTAAAACACTCTGCAGACTCCATCCCCGAATTTTATCAATCAGTAGTGCTGAGAAAAGTCCAAGATTTTATATTCCAAGACTAACAGCAGTGGTCTGAGGATTCAACTCCCAGATCCAGTGTCCCCAAGAATTTGCAGTAAAGCTTTGGAATCAGTCTGCTGAGTTCCAGTTTTTGGTCTGCCGCCTCTGGTAAGACCTTTGGAAATATTACCCAAATTCTCTAAACATTAGTCTCCAACATCCGAGTGTAGTTGAGAAAACTGAAGAATGCTCATAAAGCACTCTCATGTTCAACACCTGGCAATTTTGTCTTATTTTGGGACTAGGGATTGAATCCAGGACCTTGTATATGATAACCACACACTGCAGTGACACAGTCGAAGGTAAAAACTTAATATATAATAGGTACAATCTATATTAAAATGTCCATGGGCTCAGGAGATGGCTCAGTGGAATAAGTGCTTCCCTGGCAAGCGCAAGGGTCTGAGTTCAATTCCCGGTTCCATCAAAAAAAAAAAAAAAAAAAAAAAAAAAAAGTCCCTAACTACATTTTTTTCCTATAAACACTAGAATAGCTAAACTTAAAAAGAGAAGATCAAAGATTGGCAAAGATATAGAACATTTATAAGAGCTTTATTCATAACACTCAAACATAGTAAATAGTCCAATCTCCATTAGTCAAAAGGTTAAACTGATATATGTGTACAATAGACTATTACTCAGCAATAAAAAAAAATCAAGAATGACATATAACATGAATTATCCAAACTGTTTTGTTTCATGTAAACAAGATGTAAAGAATACATACTGCATAATTTCACTTATAAAGTTCAAAATCAATGAACTGTGCAGTAAAAGAAATCAAACAACCTTTTGTTTTCAAACAACCTTTTGCAGGGGGAGTCTTCACTAGAAAGGGACATAAAGGAAATTTCTGGAGTAATGGTAATGCTCTGCGTATTGCTTTGAGTGATGATAACATGAGCATATACATTGTAAATACTCATCAAGTAGATATTTAAGATCTGTGCAAACCTGATTTAAATATTGTACAGCATATACATGAATAAAACATTGCACAGTAGTCCACTAACAGACATAATTTTTGTTTTCATGTATCAGTTAAAATTAATTTTTTAAATCATTTTTAATGTGGAAGCACCCTATGTGTTCCAATAAGTAAGTGGCCAAGCAAATTGTGGCATTCTTATTTGATGGAATGCTGTTCAGTACTAAAAATATAATAACCTGCCAGGCCAGTAACAGATGCGGTAAAATGTAAATGCACACTACTAAGAAAAAAAGATCAGTATTATGCTAGCTACATATTGTATGATTGCAAATATGTGGTATTCTGGAAAAGATAAAGTTATATAAAGTGTAAAAATGTTCCATGAAACAGTTAATGCTTAATTGTTTGGTCAGTTTTGCATGCCTATATCTGGTAATCTGGACAACTACTTTGAAGGTAACAACATATAGTGTAACAGTCATTGTTAATTTCCTAACCAAAAAAATCATTCTTAAAAAGTTCTATGCATATTACTATAGGTAAATGATACCTTAACATTCATACATAACACATATATAAGAATATGCAAATATATACAGTATAATTTTTTAGGCATTTTGTGACAACGACCTGTCCTCTCCATTTAAAATGAACCAACACTAACCCAGTAAGTTCATTTACATTGATTTCCTTCTAGTCCAGTCCCACCTTACACAATCCCATTGGTTACAGACCATTTTGGTCCATCCATCTTCCTAGAGAAATACCATGAACTACAGCACAATCTTCCCCACAAGAAGACAATGACATTTCCATACAGAAAATAGCCAGAGTGGCCCTTGTCCCTGGCAGGAACTAACTAGAGGAACTAACAACACAAAGTAAGTTTCTTCTTTACTACATGCCAACTATGAGCCTATCTAATGTGGTAAGACACAATGACAAAGACAGACACAATTCTGTCACTTACTTTTAATCATAATTTCAAAGTAAAAGAGAAAACACAAGATTGGTGAAGTGGTTTCTAGGGCCACTGTAACTGGTAATGAAGGTGGCAGACAACCTAACTGTCCCCATATAATTATTACATGAAATAGCTTTCACACTGTAGGGGATTTCAAGCCATCCCAGTTTCCCAATCAGCATCTTTTCTTTTTTTTTTTTTTTAATCCCATTATAAGTAGATCCACGTACACACACAACTCTGCTGTGAACAAAACTGTTCACAAAGAATAGTCCTGGGTGAAGGAATAAACACTTGGAGACCTGGGATTCTTCAAACTTTCCTTAATAGCTCACCAAACTCTCCTAAATTCCCTGCAGAGAACTACACAAGGAGCACACTCAGCCACAAGCCTCATGGTACACATGGTAATAAAACAACTCAGAACTCATAGATACCAACAGACACCGCACTGGATAGCTACCCTTCACCTGTTCTTCCTCTGTTCTTACTTCAAGGGGCCCTGCACTGAGATCTAACAGCTGTATCAAATGCAAAGTATTTTCTCTGGAGCTTTATCAACTCACAATCATCAAGGTAATGCATTAAATTTATAATCCATGTTCCTGCACAAATAACTGCTCAAATTCAATTCAAACACACCAATAATAGCTAATCTTATTCTGAGATTACTCCACACAAACAACTGTTTGAGCACCGTTTCCCATATTTGCTTATGTAACACTCACAAGCCAGTTTACAGGTAAGAACACAGCCTGCTAGACAAGACCAGGAGAGATGTGCAACGAAGAAGGAACAGTCTCTCCCTTCAAAGAGCTCCTGTACAGAAATGAATTCCTAACTTGGGGTACAAGGTAAAAAACTACAAGATACTCATGAAAGGAGCACAAAGGAAGAAAAATCTGTTTATGCTGGCCATTGTGGTGGACTTTGGGAGAAAAGTTCAAGGGAAGGATAAAGAGCGCAGACTGGGCGAATAAGTGCTTGCCTGGCAAGCACAAGGGCCTGAGTTCAATCCCCAGCTCCGCAAAAAAACGCTAAAGAGCGCTTTCCACTTGCAGAGCCCTTCAGTTCACAAAAAGCCAGTCCATCCCCTGTCTACCCCTCCATTTTCATGTTTTTAACAGAGGACCGGACAGGCCTAGCCATTCTCTCCTCTGACACATTCATCCAGCTGTTTGCCTGTCCTTACAGAGACATATGGAAACTTTTCACCATCTTTAACTTAAGTGCTTCAGGAGAACCTATGTCACAGTGCCTGGCTGCACAAGAAATCCCTTCAAAGAAGCATATTCTCGGGTCCTCGGAGAGACAGGTCTTGCATATACCAGATTCAACATGACCTACCAACACCAGCAGCCAACAAACACACCAGTTTACATGGCATATGTTTTCTGCAGATTTCGAAGGGAGAAATGTGCTTCCCTCTGCCGTGAAAAAAAAATCAGCCTCTCCGGGCCAGAGACACAAGTGCCTACCTGGTAAGTGCAAGATCCTGAGTTCGATTTCCGGAACCAAAAATAAAATACAAATCAGCCTCTCCCTCCATTCCCTAAAGACAGAGCAAGGACTTAAACACATGGTAGTTGTGTGACCTTGGGGAAGTCACTTAATGTCAGTCTGGTTTCCTTATTTGTGATACAAGATTTGAAGAAAAAAAAATTTCCAAGTTAAAACTGTGAATGGAATGAGATACTGCAAATAAAAGCCTTCAGAGCCTCACGCAGAATAAACTGTTAATAAGTAACAGCTATCTTATCAACAGCGAGGGCAGGGTAAACTCGGCTCTGACCCTGCCCTAAGGGCAACACCCCTTCCCGCGCTGCATCTGGGCGCCGGGCGAGTTCTCCAGCCGGCGGCTCAAGGTCCTTGGCCGGTCACGGGCAGTGGGCGCAGGGTACAGCGTTTTTCTGGTGGAAGCTACTCAACAGCACCCTCGCCTTCCACGCACCCACTCCTCAGCTCTGGGAACTACCTGACGGCGAAGAGCGGTGGGCAGCACGCGGGCCGGGACCCCCGGACGCAAGGGCCGTCCACCTGCCCGGCCTGGCTGCCCAGCTCTGCCCCAGGCGCGAGCCGGCGGCGAGGGACGGGCGCTGGGACACCAAGTTCGCGTTCGGGCCTGCGCCGCCTCTCCCCGCCTCCCCTGCACACGCAGCCCCCTCGGGAGGGCAGGCCGTCCACGCCGCGCGCGGGGCAGGAGAGCAGGGCTCGGCGTGTCCGCGTCCCGCGCCTTACCTTGTCGGACGGCTTTGAAGGTGACGGCCTCTCTGCAGCTGTCGATGACGCCCAGCACGTCGTAGCGGGGCAAGCCGGACACGCGGACGCCCTGCACCTCCAGCAGCAGCTCGCCCTCGCCCTCGCCCTCGCCCGCCGCGCCGAGGAACGGGAACTCGCCGTGCTCCGCGCCCCCCAGCACGGCCAGCCCCAGCTCGCCGCGCGGCCCGCGCCTCACGGTGCACTCGCGCACCCTGCTCGTCCAGTGATTCTTCTTCTGGACCACTTTCGACATGACGACTCCCGCCGCCGCGACGGAAAATAAATCAACGAAGTTCAAAGGAGGCGAGGGCGCGGAGAGGCAGGTGCCCGGCCGCCGCCGCGGCTCACGCGAGGAGCATCTCTCGCGCCCAGCGAGCGGCTGCCTCTCCGCGCGCGCTCAAGCCATCGCGGGACAAACTTTCCGGGCCCCCGCGAGCTTTGTTCGCTCTTCGCAGCCTGGTCCGCGTCCCGGCGCCGGCCGCGCTCGTCCGGACCAGAGTCCACTCGCGCCGCCCCGCGCCGCTTAGCTTCCACCTCTGTTCCTTTCTTCCTGCCCGGGAGGAGCCCTGCGCCTCCCCAGCCTCCCGCCGGCTCGCGCCCTCGCGGCGGCTGCTCCTGAGGGAAGCCCAGTCCGCTCGCTCCCGCAGGGAGCCCGGGCCGGCGCGGGCGGGGGCGGGGGCGGGGCCGGGAGGGAAGCGCGCGGCCCCTTTAAGAGGATACAAAGGCTGGGCTTGTTTTGTTTCGCTTCTTTCCACTCGGCGCCGAGCGCCCGCCCGCCGGCGAGAGAGCATTGCGCATGCGCCTGCCCCGCCCCCGGGGCCGTCTCGCCGCGAGCGCCCGCGGGTCCTAGAGCCGGCCGGCCGCGCCGCCGTGCTCCCCGCGCCTACCCCCTCGGTTTCTCTGAGGCGGGTGGAGTCGGCACAGGCACCGGGTGGGCAGGCGCGCGCTTGTTGGTGACTTTTGAACTCGGGCCGTCCTCTGGCTTTGGCGTTGAAAAACTTCAAGCAAGCACGCGAGCCATGCCAGGCCCGGCCCGGCGCCCCGCTGAGAGCGGCGGCCGCTGCGGGCTTCCGCAGGGAGAGCCGCCCCGCTCCGCCGTCCTCCGGGAGAAGGCTGGCTGCGCCGGGAGCCGTGCTCGTGGGAGAGCGCGACTTCCGGTGCCCGAGGACGCTCCGCTTGGGCGTGGGCGCGCTCTGTCCAGACGCGGTGCACCTGGAATTCCTCAGCAGCGCTGTAAGTCCACAACCGGCCAGACGGGGGAAGGAAGACGAAAGGCGTGATCCTAAAATAAGGCACCCTGAAGTGAAGCTTGAGAAAATCCAAAGAAGGTTTAAATTATCGGTCTTTAAACAAGAGACAGACAAGAGAGCTGGGCCCTACCTTGAAAACGATCTAGTCCTGGGGGGCGCACGGTTCCTAGGGCTTTCATCCCCTGAGAGAAGCAGAAATGTTCCCAGTTCCAGGAAATCATTCGTCTCATTTGTTTGAATGCCTGCACGCCACTTTTGATACTGTAAAAGTTCTGCCTAACCAACACGCCCTGAAAATTGCTTTTCTGCACGAGTCTGAACTTTTGCTCTTACTCTGCAGGTGGGGTGGATGAGGTGTATCATCTCCACATACAACGGCAGCCCCCTCCGCTGATGCTGGTGGAACTGGTTGCTTCCCGCCGCTACAGCGCCTGGGTGGAGACCCCACCTCTCAGATTTTGCTCAGGGACTTTACCTGTGCGGCGTGAGCTGGGGAATGGCGGTTGGGGAAAAGCCTGCGTGGTCATCTCCAGAGGTTTCTTCATTTTGGCTGTCTAATTCTGGGCATGGAAGAAATTCCTAGATATAAGGGAAGTGAGCTGAGCGACCCAGAAAAAATGGGATGCTAAAACAATGCCGGTTGAGAGCTAGGTTCCAGGCTTCAGATTACCCCAGCCACCATCTCTGTGGCCTTCAGTGAGCTTCCTTACTTTTCAGAGCCTTCCTTTCCGGAAGTCTAAGGGATATTACAGTACTTCACAGAATGCATGTAAAATGGCATAAAAGTAGTATTGGAGGGCTGGTGAGATGGCTTAGTGGTCTAAAGCACCTACTTAGAACAAGCTAAGCAAAGCACAAGCTAAGCAAAGCACAGGGACCGCGCGGTTCAATCCCCCACCACCACATGCCAGCCAGCCCCACCCCCTGGTGAGCTAAGCTGGCCACACACACACAAATAAATAATAAAATAATTTTTTTTAAAAAAGTAGTATTGGAGAAGAAAACTAGGAGACCCTTTGGTGTTTCATCTTAGATGATAATTCAGTCTTTGCCTTCCAGAACTTAAAAACTATAAGCATACATTTAAATATGCTTTTAAAGTACTGTTTAGTAGAGTGCTGTCCTAAGCTAATAAAAATAAGGGGAGAATGCGGGTGTGTCTTAGGATATCCAAAAAGTTCATTGCCTTGACCTGTTCTCCGTAGCTGTCTGTGGTTAGAGGAACTTCCTCTCCAGCCACTTTTTTTCTGAAGTGATCTCATTATGACTGGATTACATGAGCTGGCACTTCAGACATCCTTAGTGGTGCAGCTATACAACATTAAGAACCATGGGGCTGGAGAGATGGCTCAGTGGTCTAGGGCACCTACTTGAAACGGGCTTAGCAAAAGCATCAGGGACCGCGGTTCAATCCCCCAGCACCACATGCCAGCCAGCCCTGCCCCCTGGTGGGCTGAGCTGGCCACACACTCTTTCTCTCTCTCTCTCTCTCTCTCTCTCTCTCTCAAATAAATAAAAAAAAAATTAAAAAAAAAAAATTAAGAACCACATGTTTAGGGGCTAGGGAGATGGCTCAGTAGAACAAGTCCTTCCCTGGCAAGCACAAGGGCCTGAGTTCAATTCCCATTTCCACAAAAAAAAAAAAAGCATCTCTCTGTCCCTTGTTTACTCCAGGAGGGCCTGCACTTGGACAATTTGGTTTACTGACACTCCTAGAATCATGTCTGTTACCTCAGCAGTGTTCAAATATCAAATGAATCTTTTCACAAAAACATATGTTTTTATACGTTAGTGGGTTCCATGTTAGAATTCCCAGGTTCTAGCAAATCCCTACAAGCTTGACCTTGTATGTTTCCCCTTTTTACTGCACATTATTCTAGTTACACATGGTCACAAGAACTCCCCTACCTAGTCCTCCATCCTTCTGCCTGCCTCTCACCTTCCACCAGGAAGAGTCCGAAAGGAGAGCATAACTAGGTGGCTTGTGGTTCCTCAGTATATTTATTTTATTTATGTGTGTGTGTGTGTGTGTGTGTGTGGCCAGCTCAGCCCACCAGGGGGCGGGGCTGGCTGGCATGTAGTGCTGGAGGGTTGAACCGCTGTCCCTGTGCTTTGCAAAGCTTGTTCTAAGTAGGTGCTTTAGACCACTGAGCCATCTCACCAGTCCCAGTTCCTCAGTATAAGAACAGTTTTCTATTCTAAAATACCAGGAGTCTCAGCAACAGCTGAGAGGGGGAAAGGTCTTAAGATTTAAGACCTTTCAGTCTACGGCCATACCACCCTGAACGCGCCCGATCTCGTCAGATTTAAGACCTTTCAATAAACCCACCCCAGGTTTTATTTTTATTTTCTATTTATTTTGCAATTATGGAAGCCAAACCCAAGTATTTGCATATCCTAGATAGGTACTTTAGCACTGAACTACATCCCTAGCCCACATTTTTGGTTTTACACATGGAAAACCTTAAGAGAAGGTACAGAGGGCAGTATGAAAAGAACAGAGAGACATACTGTACTTCAGGAAGATGAGAGAAATAATTTGAATGTTCAGTGCGGCCACTGCTTCCAGTTGCCCCACGATAAGCATGGAATGATCCTTGGAGACCCTTCCTGAGTACTCAGTTTCACCAAGTCTCAGATGTGTCCCATAGAGGAATCAACTTCAAGGCAGAAGTCCTCTATCTCTCCTACCCAACTTTCTAATCTTCAGTACTGAGAACAGTGCCTTCTTAGAATGTGTACTATACACAGATGTTGAATGAATACATGAATGAAGAAAGTATGACATTAAATTATACATGACAAAGCCAACTTAGGTTTGATGGTTAAAAGCAGGTTATTTGTAGCTGATTTTTTTTCAAAGACTATATATATATTTTTTTTGGTGGAACCGGGGATTGAACTCAGGCCCTTGCCCTTGCCAGGGAAGTGCTTATTCTACTGAGCCATCTCCCCAGCCCCTATATCATCTTATTCAAAATTGATTTTTTTTTTAATGTATTCAGCACAAGGTCTCACTACACAGCTCAGACTTGTAGTGATCCTCTTTTCAGATTACAGGGGTGCACCACCACGCCCCGGTCTCAGTGGCAAGCTCTGTGCCTGAGGGCAGGGCCAGCACTGTATGTGGTACAGGGAATTAAACCCTGGTCCCTTCACTTGCCTAAATGGGACTTAGTCCACTGAGCTGTCTTGCTGTCCCTTAAAATTGATTTCTATTGAACAAATGTAAAGTTGGACCCTAGTGTTCTACAGTTCTCATTAATGCTCTAAATTTGGAAATATATTCTGATGCAAGAACTAAACTGTAAAATACCTGAGATTTGCCATATATACCACAATAGTTGTGGTTTTTTGGGTTTTTTTTTTTTTTTTTTTTTTTTGTTGTTTTAAGAACCAGGGATTGAACTCAGGCCCTTGCGCTTGCCAGGGAAGCGCTTATTCCACTGAGCCATTTCCGTGGCCCCTATACCACAATAGTTTTAAGTATTCTTTTGTATAATCATTGCAACAACTGAGTAAAGTAGCAGTTACCAGGTGTCATGGTTTGGGGTTTTTGCAAGGTGAACAATACAGTATGGGACATGTTTTGTAATAGTATTTTGTAGTGAATCACCAAGAATCACATACTAAAAGTGCAGGAGATCTATTCACACACTAAATAATGAATCCAGCTGAGGGCCTAGGGCTCAACGATGCCTCTTGCCAGTCCAACTGGAGGCCTAGAGCCCACAACAAAGTCTCATACAGGCCCACTTCATGAATATGTGCTGGAAAGACCCAGAGGTCACTGGTGGAAGCTAGGAAGTCTATGCCAGTGGGATGAAGGATCTCTGCTGGCAAGCTGAGGAATCTGAATTGGAGCTAGGGAGCAATTCTTGAAGTAAGCACCAGAGCATCCCCAAAAGTACCATAGCCATCCTCAGCAACAGTGACGTCCCAGCTCCTCCAGCGATAAGGAAAGCCAATTTCCCATCAGGAAAGACAATGAGTCAAGCTTCTTCGTAAGGCTGAGCAGTACACCATCTCCAGAGCCAGGAATCGATGCTCAAGATGAGGACCCAAACTTCTCCAAAGTTCATCAGGAAAGCCAGCATGACACAGGTCCTCCAGAAGAACAGCCCAAGAGAACTAGCAGCTTCTCCAAACAGCGTCCCTAATGATGTTTTGGCAGTTTCTCCTGTTTTGCCTTTCTGCTGCTGGCAACAACCCTCAGGTGGGCCTACCACACTCAGCGCCATGCTAGTTTAATTCAGCTGGGTGTAATAAGTTGACCACCTGTTAGAAATCCACTACACCAGGGACAACTTCAGTTTTACCATTGAGCAAAGTAAAGCTAGGAGAGTGGAGAAACTTATCTACTGAAGAGCTTAGAAATAACAAACCCATAATACAAACTCAGATGCCCACACAAAACCTATGCTCAGAACCCTGCCCTACCAAAGTGTAAGACGTGGATGACAGCATTTTTTTTT